TTTGGTGACGTTTCTCAGTCGCCTCACTGGACGTTGGGCGTGGTAGCAGTCCACAGAGTGTCACGCTCAGCAGCAGGCGGGGTGTTGACACACTCCGTCAAGAAAGCGTGCCAGCCCTCGATGGTGGCCGCGTCAAGACCGGCTCTGACCTCCGCACTGCACGTAGTAACGTACCAGGCCGCCGAACCGAAACTCTTTTCGTCGTCGGAGTTCACGAGGTCCAGAACGGCATCGACTCCAGTGGCCTTTGCTGTCGCGACGGCGTCTGCACCGGCAATAGCGGTTGCGTACTTCTCGATAATGGGGGGCATGGCCATCACTAAATACATAAGTCAGTTTCTGTGACATGGGCAGTTCATCAAAACAGCGTTACTTACTCCTTGTGCCCTGGCCAGGCCTACCTGGCTCAGGAAAGTGGTTCCTCTTGTACTTGAAGTTTCCGCTCTCAAAGAGCTCATATGCGACAATCGCCGCCCTCTCGCCCTTGGATGTGATCTTGTAGGTCTCGAAGCCCTTGTTGATAGCAGTAGCGGCTGCAGTTGCATCTGCACACTCGTCGGGGAATGGTGCACCGTCGCAGGACGCGGTGGTGGGGGCGATGGCGATCAGGTTGTCTGCAGTCAGGCTCGCCTCGGTGGTTGGGGCATCTGCTGGGGGAGCTGCCGGGACACCGTCTTCGAGGTCGCAATCAGGGCCCCGGGCGGGCACAGGTGCTGCGAAAGCGCAGAGTGCAAAGGCACTTGCGACGAGGATGTTCTTCTTGAAACCCATGTTGTTGATCGGCTGATTGGTGGAGTATATAGGTATATAGTTGTAAGGTTGATGTTCTTTGATGATGTTGGTGTATATATAATGAGTGATGTTTGAGGCCAAGTCTGGTGCGAGGTGATGGTCTTAAGTAAGAAGGAGCTCTTGAATAGTCCGAATGCAGAACTTGTATTGTAAAGTAAGTGGCCAGAACAGTGTTCTTGAATGAGTGACGTTGAATGGAATTTGCTTCAGGCCTGCAGAAGCTAGTGATCTAAACAAGGGATTGAGAGACCGTGAGGAGGCAGTGTATAGAAGCGATAAAGGAAGGTGACGGCCAAGATATATGACCTTAGGCGCGCATCGTGGCGCGCCTAAGGATCCCCCTTGAGGTGCGCCGTCAGCACAATAGTCAGGAACCCGTCTTACCGTATTCCCCAGATCAACGAGCAGTGACGGCCAATCATTGCCTGTGCGAGGTGACGAACTATGCACGTGAATACGCGTTGTGCGACTGTGATTGGTTCTGCGCCACCCAGCTGCCGGGGATGTTTGAAACATGAAACGAGCGAGGTCAAGCTTTCGCCAATGCCGCTGGACAGGAGTTAGACAGGAGTTTAAACAGCTTCTAGTGCCACCGCAACAAAATTATAGGGTAGTTCTGGGACGATAGGCATCCAGCGAAGAGCTGAATGGGGCATTCTGGTTGGTAGCGGGCGGAAGAAAGGTTGTTGCGGCTTACGAGCTTGGCCACGGGTGCCTCAGCCCTGACCCGCCGCAAATGTGATAGCCGTAAGTAAGGCGGAACGTTGCGCCGCTTGGTGTGTACAGTAGCTGATCTTTCCCAAATCTTTCAGTCGCGTTTACCCAAGGCATACGGCAATTCTTCTACCTTGTGCCGTTACGGAGTTTGCCTTAACCCCGCATGACGTGACCTCATCATAGTTGCCGTCCACGGTGGGGCAACTGCTTCTCTATGCCTAGGTGTCCTGCCTGCCCCTCATTTAAGCTCATACACAACCAAATTTCCTCTTCAGCAAACAACTCGTAATAAACATCCAAAATGCCTGCAGTCGAGACAAAGTTTGACCCCAAGGAGTAAGTCACGTCAATTGCTAGTACGAAATAGTCTGCCTCGATGCGTGGTTGTGTTCAATTCGCAATTTGACATGTGTACTCTTACATCTGTTACATCTGAACATCTGCTAATGTCAAGATAGCATGCAGTTCCGTCGCCTTGGACCCGCTGGGTTGAAGGTCTCGGTCCTGTCCTTGGGAGGTTGGTTGACATACGGAGGAACGCAGAAGGGTTCCATCGTGAAGGACTGCATGCAAGAGGCTTGGAACCATGGCATCAACTTCTTCGACACTGCCGAGGTATACGCAGCCGGTGAGTGCGAACTTGAGATGGGCAAGGCTTTCAAGGAGCTGCAGTGGCCGCGTGACGAGTACGTCTTGTCGACAAAGGTAAGATCAGTCTCATCATGCCATGAGTGGGGACTGACAGTAATGGAAAGGTCTTCTTCGGAACTCAGAGGAAGGAGCCAAACACCAGGTAATATGGCCGTCTTGCATACTCTTACTCAACTAATGAACGCGTAGGGGTCTATCCAAGAAGCACATTGTCGAGGGCTTGAAGAGCTCCTTGAAGCGTCTTGACCACGATTACGTCGACGTTGTTTTTGCTCATCGCTACGACCCTGAGTATGTATTAGCTTTCTGCTTTCCGAGTGCCTACTAACGTATGTTTAGCGTTGGCATGAAGGAGATCGTTGAAGCTTTCACCCAGACAATCCAGATGAACTTGGCATACTACTGGGGTACATCCGAATGGTCTGCGGATCAGATCCAGGAGGCATGCGATATCGCCGAGAAGTACAACCTAATCGCCCCTATCGTGGAGCAGCCTCAGTACAACGCTTTCCACCGTGAGCGCTTCGAGAAGGAATACGCTCCATTGTACAAGAAGTACCAATACGGAACGACCATCTGGTCACCTCTGGTAAGAACTCAGAACGAACCTACTACATCCGAGATCTATGCTAACGCGTGTACCAACACTTAGGCTTCGGGCATGTTGACTGGCAAATACAACGATGGCATTCCGTCCGACTCCCGATTCGCGACTAACCCCGAATTCTTCAAGAACTCAATCGAGGCGCTGAAGAGCGACGAGGGACAGGCTAAGATCAAGAAGGTCAAGGAACTGACTAAGATTGCTGAGAAACTTGGAGGCACCACGACTCAACTCGCGCTTGCCTGGGCAGCTAAGAACCCGAATGTGTCTACTGTTATTCTTGGCGCAACGAAGCCCGAACAGGTCAAGGACAACTGTGGCGCTCTCAAGCTGCTCGAGAAGTTGACACCGGAGCTCATGGAGGAGATTGAGAAGATCCTCGACAACAAGCCAAAGCTATAGGCACTCCGATACGGCTGCGGGATCTGCTCAAAGGCCACAGTGATTACTCAACCGATCTGGAGCATCTAGAGCAGGCTATATAGTACAATGGAGGATATGTGACCAGTCTTGCTTCCTAATCGCATTCCGATGGTACGATCAAGTAGGCGCTATGTCGTAAGGGTCGACGTCAGGAAATATAGCGATTGGCTGCCCCGCAAATCGTATATACCGCACAACGTGACCGTACGGAGTAGGCAACTGCATGTCTAAGTGGATAGCTGTTATACGAAGTACGTTGAAGTGTGGTAGAGCAGAATGCACCCGCCACAGGACCTCGGGAAGGCGTGCCCGAGACTTATCGGGCGGTCGAAGTGGCTGGGCCAGGTTTTGATACCCAGCCCTGACCATGCATCGCCCATGACACAATGCCATGGGGTATTTTGCGCGCCGACCCTTTGTTTTTGCGCTGTAAAGCTGGGATGTTGGGTGTCGCACGGCGCCACTGCACTGCATGCCAGCTGCAAGCTCTAGACCGGAGTCGCTGCAGAGCCGCAGAATGAAGCCGCTAAACACCAGCGGATCACAAGCTGCTTCCGCGCTCTGGCTGTGATTGCTCCAAAGGCTGTTTGGCTCGATCTTGTGCACTGACCGCCTCATCTTGCAACCTCCAGACCCGGATGGCAGGCAGATTCCAAATCGCTAGCTGGGGCTGTGTTCTCGCCGACGATCTCGAGTGTGTAGCGCATTATTTCGTGCATGGCTGGCTACTAAATCGCGTTGAACATCGCACTGCAAGTGTAGGAGTCGAGCTACCCTGGCACGTCCTTCCAGACCAGCCTGCCCTCTCCTGTGCTACATTCGACTCTGCGACGCCAAGGGCACCATCGCTTGTCTCAATTGACCGGCAGCTCGTCGCCCATTGCAACCGTCTCTTCACCATCGCCGTCTCGCCCAACTCGGAAGGACGGAACAGGAGGACCTCGGCCGCATTCCGAGAGAACTAGAGTACCCTTCAAGTCTCGCTGCTCAAATACCCAAACACCCCACGGCAGAACCGCGGGCACCGGCTCTGTCTAATCGTCATCTCTGCGCGCCGGCGAGCCTGACTTTTGTACGTTTCGGATGTGCGCAGGGGTTCATTGTCGCCCTGTGGACTGACTTGCCTTTAGCGCATCGCTCACTGCAACTCGACGGCTTCTCCGCCATTTCGGCGCCGAGGGAGAGAACCGTTTAACCCATAAGTGCGCGTCGCTGCCAATGCCGCTCCTATAGCATGGCAACTACTATCAAAACCGACCCCTCCTCCGAGGGTGCCAGTCATCGCGACAACAGCAGTGGTATGTGGAATTCCTCTTGGCAGTCTCCAGCGCTTTAATCGCTCCACGTTTTGAAGTTGTATCTGTTTTGGCTCCGCCTCGCGATTCCTACAGTTTGTTCTTGGCACGTAGACATGGCAGCCGCCATTGGGTCGCTGCCGCTGAAGCTTCTCGCGTCTTTACTCCACTCCCAGAAACGTGCTGCAGAGACATGACCAGTCTCGCCATGACAACCTTGAAAGCTCTACTCGGGTTAGCATGAACGTTGCAACATTCCCCGCGGCTCGCATGGTTGCCGGCCGTTGAGTTGACATCGATGCATGAACGGCCAAAGACCCTGCGAACACTTGCGTGCCTCACCCGGCAAGGCGCTGGCGACACTACATATACATGGCCGCACTACTCTCCTTTGTCGTCAAAGCTCATCATACACACATACATAATATTCCTTTTTGTTTCTTTCATCTCTTACCTAATATCGAAACATCATGTCGCATGCTCGTTATATGTCCTGGCCTAATGCGCATGCGCTGACCATGGCGCCCACCTACCCTCCATCCGGCGCTGCCATCGAGTACCCCTCACCCGCTGCTTCTCGTCGGGCTTCCGAGTGTTTCTCTGAAGTGAGCATGAGCAGCAGCAGGAGGGGCAGCTTGGCTGGATTTGCGTCGGACATGGAGAGTACTGGGCAGTGGCAATCTCTAGGAAGCGAATCTAAGAGTCCTCTAGCACAATTTGGATTCTTCAAGGGTCTCACCGATAAGAAGACAACAAGAGGTTCGTTCGTTGAGACATCGCCTCGATATGGTGGCTGACTCCTGCAAGATGGCCAACCACCCAAGAGAAGAGGACCCAAACCGGATAGCAAACCGGCTTTGACCAGACGGCAAGAGCTGAACCGCCAGGCGCAGAGGTAACATCAGCCAAGCCATGTCTTGTATCACGCACTGACTTGTTGGCAAGAACACACCGAGAGCGAAAGGAGCTATACATCAAGGCCCTCGAGCAGGAGGTGATCCGTCTCAAGGATACCTTTGCGGCTACTACGAGGGAACGGGACGCTTTCGCGGACGAGAACCGCCGACTGAGAGAGCTGCTCATGGCACATGGCATCTCCTTCGACCACTCCAGCCCGGGGAGCAATGGCATGGGCCGCGTCGACAGCTCTGCCTACGGAAGCTCCACTGGCAGCATGTCAGGCTACGGGCCAGGATCAGCGTCGACTGGCTACACATCGCCACCAACACGCGGATCCAGCTCTCATGATGGAATGAACGGTCAAGCCTTGACTCTTCAACAGCAACAAGCCCAGCAGTCTGGTCACCATCAGCAGCATTCGATGGACTATGACCAGATCGGCATTGACTTCGTCTTAACGTACGACCGATCGCCTTATCTTTCTCCTCCACCCCAGCAGTAATGCGCTTACGTCTTTTCTTCTTCATTCTTTTTGGCCTCCGTACGTCATTCGTTATCTTTACGAGATCTGTTCTGACGACTGCGTCTAACAGGCTCGAGCGACCCTGCATGGACCACATGCAGTTTTTAATGGTCCGCGCCAACGAGGCCGACGAGAACATCAGCGGCCATGCGCTCATGGCAACGGCACCTCCCGATGCGCATATCACGAATTGCCCCGAGGAGAAGTATCCACATCAGATGCCGGACGTCAAGATGCCGGATTTGATGAAACTACTCGATCTCAGCAATCGTCTGCCCCTTGATGGGGAAATCACGCCTATCATGGCCTGGGCGAAGATCCTCCAAGACGAATGCTTCAGGGATCTCTCCAAAGAGGACATTGAGCTCGTGAAGAAGGAGCTCCTTGCCAAAGTCCGCTGCTACGGGTACGTTGGTATCACTCTGATTTCAGCTGAGCATGCACTAACCCTACCCAGCTTTGGCGCAGTCCTCGAGGAATTCGAAGTCAGCGACGCCCTGATGACAGTTCTTGCTAGCAAATACTCCAATGGTCCCACGCCAGCATAATGTGTAGTCACGAGAAAAACGGCACTAGTTATGTTTTCTGGAATAATCTGTAATGTCATTCGCTCGATATGAATAATGCAAACATATCTTCAACTTTAAAATCCCAAATGGTGTTTGACATGTCGATGGTGACTCGCGAGTTGGCGCATGCCCGCCGATCTACTCTATTGTGAAATAAAGGGTCCAAGCTAGCGCCCCACTAGACCCTCGTCCTGTCAGGGCGGTGTTATGAAACCCAAGGATTTATGAAACTACAATCGCTACACGTCGTCGTCTCGAGGCCTATAAAACCTCCGCAATATACGCCGGCTTGCCTTCCTGTCTTTCTGCCTCTTTCGCCACCGTCACGAGGGCACATCACAGCTATCCTCCGTACCCCGCGCGACTCCCGACCGAGCCTCAGTCATGGCCGAACTAAGCGTCTACGACAACGACCCGACGATATATCTCTTTACCTCGCTGACTGCCGGGTCCTCTCACATCGTTACTGCCACGTCTCGAATCGAAACAATCCTAAGGGCGAACAAGATCCCTTTCAAGGGAGTCGACACGGCGACAGATGAGCTCGCAAAGAAGCTGTTCCAGCGGAGAGCAAGCGGGAAGAAGCTACCGTTGATAGTCAAAGAGGGATATGTTCTGGGTGTAGGTATAGGCGAAAGCGCGTAGCTAGGACAGGAGGCTAACGTGTGTCTTGCAGGGCATCACCGAGATCGAAGAATGGAACGAGTACGACGAGATTCGAGAAGCGCTGGGCGTCACGGCAGCCTTCACGCCCTTTCCTGCGAAGCCCGGCCCACCGCCCATGGCTGCGCCAGCCACGACCACCTCCTCCTTCTCATCCACAAGCGCAGCTGCGAAGAAAGAGAATGTCATCATACCCAGTCCAGAAACAAACCTGGCGCTCCGTGAGCTAGGCGCGGAAGCTGCGAAGAAGGCCGCGTCGATGAAGCCTACTCCAAGCAACATCAAGACTACGAACCCATTGCTGGCTGAGAAGACGAACACACCGACCTCGGCGACCTCGAAGAAGAGCCCTACAAAGGAAGACCCTAGCAGCATCCTCTCGCCGAAATCTGTCCCATTACCCGACACGCCGAAGCTTGCGACGCCTGCTACACCGACCGCGACCGACACCGCGACCAAAGACACAAAGGCTGCTGCTTCGACCACCAAAGCGGAGGCCAAGCCTGCAGCCTCGACCACAGCGACGAAAGACGCGAAGAGCACGAAAGACGCGAAAGCCGCTACATCAAGCACTAGCAAAGACACCAAGGCAAAGGACGCGAAATACGCGAAAGCAAAGGACTCCAAGGCAAAAGACACCAAGACAAAGACTACCACATCCTCAAAAGATGCAAAGTCAAAGTCTACAAGAAAACCCGCAACAGGAGGACTCTTCGGTCTCGGAAAGCCCGTCGCAAAATCAAAGTCGTCGAAATCCTCAAGCAGCAAAGACACAAAGAGCAAAGATACAAAGTCGAAAAGCACAAAAGATACCAAGGCTGCCGCGAAACCGGGTATTCCCAAGCTCTCCGATCTACAGAAACCCGTACATGCGCCTCCGTCCATGCACGACGACGCGAAGAACCCTGCGCTTAGTGCTGGACCGATAAGCTCGATAAAGAAGGAAGACGAGGAGAACGATGAGGATGATGAAGATAGCGAGGAAGAAGAATCCGAGGAGAGCTCTGAGGAGGAAGAGGATGCCGATGCGGATAAACCAGCAACAGCTAAGGCCCCGGCAAAAGCGACTGCAGCGACCGAAGAGAGCAGTGAAGAAGAAGAAGATAGCGACGAGGAAGAAGAGAGTGAGGAGGCGGACAGCGAAGAGGACAAGAAACCTGCACCCTTGGCTACAAAAGGGAAACCCGCGACGCAAGCCAAGAAAGAAGCTGAAGCGGAGGAGAGTTCAGAAGAGGAAGACAGCGACGAAGATGATGACGAGGAGAGCTCAGAGGAAGAAGAAGAAACACCGAAGACGCAGAAGCAATCTGCCAAGGACGCGAGTAAAGCTGGTGTGAGTGTAAAGGACTAGAGAGAACAGAGAGGATGTGTGGATATTAGGAGCAGGCGCTGTATATAGTTTCAAGTACAAGATAGTAGTACATAATTCAAGTTTGGGCAAGTGCCGTAATATTGCATGTGCAGATAAATCGCATCATTTCAACGCCATCGCTGGATGCTGACTCTGCATATGCAGTGCATAAAAGACCGCATCTAACCAAAAAAACATATCTATAGACCTTTGCACGACAAAGGCCGTCTGGAATCTGTGCCAACAACACCTCGCACACTCCACTCCACCCATTATATGCCGGTGGAATAGAATCAGGCAGCAACATCCAAACCCGCCTTCTTCAAGCCATTCAAAAACTGCTCCTTAACATCCCCCTCACCACTTACAGCCTCAGCCGTCTTCTCCACCTCTGCAGACTCCGGCGCACTAAGCTGCGCCATCATCATCTTCTCCACAGCCGCAATACCCGCTTCCTCCGCTTTACTCAGACTATCAGCCGCACCGGCCGCCTCGTCCTTCTTCTTCGCTTTGCCCTTGCCCTTGGCGCCCTCCTCACTCTCCTCACCTTGGACCATCTTATCCAGTTCCAGTTTGCTGACACCGAGCGCGTAGATCTGCTCTTCGACTGTTCCCTTGGTGACTAGTCTGACGACCTCGACCTCCCGCGTCTGACCAACGCGGTGCGCGCGGTTCTCCGCTTGGATGTCATCCTGGGGGTTGAAACTCGAGTCGAAGATGATGACTTTGTTTGCGCAGGCGAGGTTGATACCTGCGCCGCCGCTCTTGGTGCTGATCATGAAGAGTTGGATGGACTCGTCCTGGTAGAAGACGTCCATGAGGGATTGGCGTTCTTGGATCGGTGTGGAGCCGTCCATGCGCATGAAGTTGATGTCGTGGTCGTCAAAGACCCAGCCGAGTATGTCCATGACGGATGTGAATTGCGAGAAGACTAGGGCGCGGTCGCCGTTCTCTTTATACTTTTTCAGCAGAGCGAGGAGCGCGGCGACTTTGCCAGAGTCCATCCATTCCTGGTCTTGGAGCTCGAATTTCTTGAGCGCGCGGTACTTGGAGGCGAGCTGGTGGCACTGGTAGTCTTGGTATAGCTGGAGTTCTTCGTAGATGATGTCTGGGCTACTTTCGGCGAACATGTCTTCTTTGAGACACGCCTTTGACATCTTCCGGATCTTGTCGTCGTTGTACCGGTGGCGGAAGAGTAGGGGGTGGATGGCTGCTTGTCGCAGCTTCATCATGACGTTGGCATGGTCCTTGACGGGTATACCTGCTGCTCGGTCTTCAAGGATCTTGCGCTGCTTGGCCAACTGCTCGTTGTAAAGCGTCTTTTGCGTGTCGGTAATATTGCAGTACTCGACACGGGACGTCTTCTTCGGTAGATGCTTGAGCACTTGAGCCTTCTTTCGTCGGAGGATAAACGGTGTCAGCATCGTACGAGCGCGTTGGATACGCTGAGCAGAAAGCAGTGAGCTATGCGAGTCGCTCTCCATAGTCTTGGCTTTGTGCTTGAACAAAATCTGCAGCATCTCCTGAACCTCCTCCTGCTGGTCGCCATAGAAAACCTGCGGCATGAGGAAACCCAAAATTGACATGAGCTCCTGAAGACTGTTCTGAAGTGGCGTTCCTGTCAACAAGATTCTGCAAGTCGTAGGAATCTTCATCAAGCTCTTGTACCGGATCGTGTTGGCGTTTTTGAGCATATGCCCTTCGTCAAAGATACAGATCTCAGGCCTGCACTTTCTCAAGAACGAAGAGTCGTCTTTTCTAAAGGTAAGGTCATATGTCGTGATGATCACATCGCACGTTCCCTGGCGGATGTTTTGGAGAATGCTCTCTTGGTGAGAGAACCGCTCCGCCTGTGATCCATAGTAGGGCGTAAAGTTGATCGTGTTGGAGAAGCGCTCAAACTCACGACACCAATTCTCTAGTGTAGATCCAGGCACAACGATAAGCGCAGGCTTTCCAACGCCTTCTTCTTTGAGGTGCGACAGAAAAGCAATAATCTGGCATGTCTTTCCCAGACCCATATCGTCGGCTAGAATACCCGAGGTTTTAGTCTTCCATAAGAGGTTCAGCCAGTTAAGGCCTACGACCTGGTAATCCTTGAGTTCAATGTCGTCGTTCATGATCGCAGGCTGTGTCAAAAGCTTTGTACGAGTGGCCGCTTTTCGTATGCTGTTAGGCTCCGTATCGCTGCCATTCGGGCTCCGAGGGGTATGATAACCTGAGTCGCGAGAGGAGTTCGTGTCGCTAGCATCATCGAGACTTGTAATCTCGACTCCATCCTCTGTGGAAGCACCAAAGATATCAATGCCCCATTTTGCCATGCCCGCAACCATCGGCTTGCCCAGAGCCTCACATTGCTGAACGACCGAGTCGATGGTGTTGTATGCATTCCACATGGCCTCGGTAGATTCCACAAGTCGCTGTCCGGTTGTTATACGTGGCTTGCGAGACTTCTTCTTGCCCTTCTCTACTGGCGTGAGATCCACATGGACCTTGCGAATAGCATCAAGAGACTTGAATGGGCGGTGCTTGAAGATCTCCTCAATGTCCTCTTCTTTGTGACTGGACAAGTCGATCAACTCCTCCACTGTACAAGTGTTGAAGAGGTTCAACAATTTACTATCGTCAAAGCTGTTCTCCACGACCGAGCCACCTGCTTCCGAATCGTCGTCGATCATGAGATCCGCAGCAATACCCTCGTCCTCGTCGGAGGAGACAACGATCGCCGCCTCCTTCTTTGTTTTCTGTTGCGGTCGTACGGGTGCGGGTTCGGGGGAGGGCGAGAAGACGGCTTTCTTGCGGTCCTTTCCGCTCTTCAGTCGACGTTTTGGCTTCGGTGGTTCCTTCTCAGGGCTTTCGATCGTCACTGGGCTATTCTGAGTTGCGCCTAACTTCGAGTACTTGTTCTGCAGCGACTGTACAGGCTGCTTAAGACCTCGCTGTGCCGTCTTCTTTACAACTGGATTTGATGCTGTACGGGCTACTCCTGGGCGAGGTGGGGACCGTAGCAGCTCATCCTCAGACTCCTGTTCCGCCAGATACTCGGAGGCATCGTTGAAGTTGCCCTTTCGCTTTGTCAAAGCATCATGTATTTGCTTGACAGAGCGATTCGGGTATATAGCCTGTAATCGCTTGACTTTGGTATACGTGCTCAGGTCATGGATGTCTTCCATGGTCATCTCCTTGTCTTCGGTCAAATCTATAGGTATAGCGCGTGAAGGACCCCCTTGCGGCTGCATAGGTTTCTGTCGCTTAGGTGGTGTACTCGACTCGAATCGTTCCGCTGGTCGTTTACGCGACTGGTCGCTGCCGTACTTATAACTCGAAAGATCCCAGGTCGGCTTCTGCGGTGTCTCTTCGATCCTCGATGTCATGGATGCCATCTCAATCTTGGACAAGGGTATATTGGACCTATATTCCGACTCGTCCTCGTCTGGGTCGCGCTCAACAGGCGGGTCGTCCGAGGTGAGGTCGACGACTGGTTTGCGGACTGCTTGTGGGGGAAAGAAGCCGGTGCCAGGCGGTGCCATTGGGTTGCTGTAGCCCCCGTATGGGCGTTGCGACTGGGACGGCGGCGACATGACAGGGGACGAGTCGCGCTGAGGGGCGGGTGACGAACGCGGGACTTGTAATTGCGAGGAAGAAGCCGTGGCTTGGACTGGGTGTGCGCGCGGCGTGACTATCAGCGTGGGCTGCGTGGTATCAGACGGCGCCGCAAAGAAGGGCGAGCGCTCCCCAAGGATTTGCGTAGGCTGCGTGACGTAGGTATCGCGCTCGTCGTCGCTGTGCGGAGAGGCGCGCGGTGCCATCGGGGGCGGAGAAGACGACAGTATGGGATCGCGGCGGTACATTGTGCGACTGCACTATGGCAGCGAGTTGAGCAGAGTAAGGATGCCGTCGTGGTAGTGGATGTCGTAGTCGCTTTTGCCGCTTCGTTCGCGGGCGGAAGAAGTAGAGCAGCGCAAAGAGAAGACGCAGAGAATAACGGCCAAGCGCACTAACAAAGGCGAAGTGGACAAAGCAACGGGTATGCTAAAATACCCACAGAGCGTAGGCAGGAAGGAGCCGTGGAAGGGTTTGCCTGGCGACGCGGATCACCAAACACAACGCGTTAAAACCACTTTACTACGCGTAAAGATATTGAGCTTGGACCATTCTGAGAGCCTATTACGTTGCTGAATTCGGCTGAGGGCCTGGTCTGTCGCTTCCTCACGAGCCAGAACACCACGACATACAGGCCCCATCTGCAGTATGACGACTAGAAGAACCGTTAACGAGCAGAAGTCGTCTCTGGACTATGATGAAAAGGCTGCCCCTGAGCCGTCCAACACCTCGCCAGCGGTGCCATCGTGAGTCGCCTTTATGCTGGATGTCATGGCTGTAGTGCAATGGCTGACAATGGCAACAGATCGGTGATTTGGAAGTTGATGAGCTTCACATTTGCCATGATCACACTGCCAATTGGCACATACTTCTTCACAGTCAACTTTGTCTTCAAGGGTTAGTTGTTCATGAGAGGTTTGGAACTGGCACTGACTCTACCCAGGCAACGCAACATGGGCGGGTGGTCTGGCAGCACTTATGGCGAACGTGGTCTTGATCGCATATGTCATCATGGCATTCAAAGATGATCAGGAGGAGATGCGAGAAGAAGCAGAGAAGTCCAAGAAGAAGTTGTAGGGCTTGCTCGTGAAGATGGCTGGGTATCGATGCATGCTGGAAGGATCGGCTCGACAGTGCAGAGTATACGCAAATACATGCTCTTGCGGAAGTATGCGCGGTTATGATAGTGACTGAATCACACATCACTTTAAACAATTAAACCGAATACGAATTGACTCATCAACCATTATGATTACCACATTACCAGCCGGCTCAAGGAGCAAACTTCTACTGTAGCAGCACATTTCAAAACTACAAGGAGTGACAATCGCGGTATATACCCTTTCCACATTCCTAAACGCCACAGTAACGCCAACATGCTGTATACGCAGGCTCGCGCAACAGTGATTCGACCAGCGGACTCCAGAGCCCCATGGTGAAGATATTCATTCATCATCATGGCAAGCCCGCGCCTCTCGTTGTCGAATGGATTCCCAGGAGCGCCGTTCGTTATAGCTAGTCGCCATCTTCCTCCCCATCATCACTCGTGGCTTAGTCTTTGCTGAACCGTCTCTTAAACCAGCTCTTGCGCTTCTCGCCAGCATCGCTGCTCTTCTTCGAGAGCATAGCTGGTCTTGTGTTCTCGGTAGCAGGCGGTCCACCACCACCGAGTTTGATCGGTGCTGCCTGGGTGGAGTGCCTCGGGGGCGGTGGTGGCATGGCGTGAGCCGGCGGTTGCGGTGGTCCTTGTGAGTAGTTGCCCGACCCCTGTGCGTACTCCTCCATGATGGGACCCCTTCCGAATCCATTAAATCCGTACTGTGCACCCATGTCCTGTTGTGGTGGTTGCACGGGCATGCCGCGTTCGATGGAGCTGTTCTCGCTGTTGCTGTGGTCGTTGGAGTAGGGGCCGTCGCTGTGGCTGCCATTCGAGCCGTTGGTGTTGACGGTGTCGCGCGACTGTTGGTAGCCGTTCATGGGGTAGACACCACCATGGGCGCTCTGTCTGTTGTTCCAGCCCGGGTCAGACTGCATGCGGTTGCCGTATCGCATGCGTTGTGGCTGTGCGCCAACAGGCCCGCCGTTGCCGTAGCCATCGACATAGCTGTCGCGCTGCGTCTGTCTTTGGGGAAAGTAGCCGCTGACGGACGAGAAGCGGTTCTGGTCGTTGTATCCGCCGCCGCCGCCGCCATAGTAGCTGCTCCGTCGGCTCGCGTAGCTCATGACGTCGGTCTGGTCGGCGCGCATTGACTGCGCGCGGCGTCGGTATTCGCCATCAATGGCAGCCTCGAAGGAGCGGATCGTGTCGAGTGGTCGCTCCCATCGCGAGCGCGTGGGGTTGGAGAGATCGGGATCGGCTGGTACTGGTTAGATAACGAATGTACGCAGCGCTGACGACACGACTTACCAATGGGATTACCGGCTGAGTCGGTATGGTTGAAGGAGCGGAGAGAGGCGAGAGTGGGCTTGGTGAGGGCTTCGGCGACTGGGGCAGGTTAGCCACGATAAGATAGACAGGGTGCACACGACGGCATACTGGGCTGCTGTTCGTTCATGGCGGCGTTGGGGTTCGCCTTTGAGTTTGGGTCGTAGTGGTCAGAGTATTTGCGCTGGTGCTTGGTCGGGCTTTTGGGCGACGCGGGAGTCTCGCGGCTCTTGTTGCTCTTGTTGCTGTGGAAGCTGAGACCGCGCGGGCGCGATGGCTGCTGTGCCGCTTGCTCCATTCTTGCAACGATGGGCGATACCCAGTTTTTTCTGCGGAGCGTCTAACGAGTCGTGCGAGCCGGGTAACTCGGTGGAGCTGGTGCTGTAATGTGGCGCGTGGTGAGCAAGTGGAGCGTGCGGCGTATCGTAGTAACTGAGACGAGAGATGTCGCAGAAGCAAATTGATGAAGGATCAAGAATGCGTGCCGGTAGAGCTATGGAAACTGGGTGTTAACACACGAAAGGCGGACCAAGTCTAGGCTGCGTAGTAAGACAACGTACCTAGGTAGTGACGCGCGGTCCATTCACTCTTCGACGCCGAGACGCGACTCGTCATCAAGCCACGACCAGACTAAACGGTTGGGGAATATCACCATCACCCACTCTGAAACAAAAGTACCGAGCAAGGGTGTCTATCTACTCTTATCGCTCTGCCGTGCACTTCTCCCAGCCTTACTCTACCATGATACTCCCACTCCACCGCGACCGTCCGTTCATCTGTGAGACAATGGAGGGTCAAGTCTCACTGCACAGCCTACTAGTTCAACCCAAACGCCCCTCGTATCTCCCGTTAGCTGGCAAATTTAGACAGCGTCAATAGTTTACTTCCGGAAGCGGACGCTATCTTCTCACCCGCACCTCCACGCCAGCCACCGCGAAACTCAATTCACCATCTCAATTACATTCAAGAGAACGTCCACCTGTTAATTGCGCAGTACAGCACAATCTGGCTATCACGGCACCTGCACTGCTGTCGCAGCACCTTTGATCTTCGTCGTGCATCCCGCAAATGCTATCTATGGTACACCATGCAGACTAGTGGCTGAGGCGTCCCTTCAATCCAGCAACCAGCAGAAATCTAGCCGCGTAGCCGGTCTCTTGCAGAATCTCTGACAAACATGGACAGCTTGCATTTTGCCGCTGTTCTTCGTGTGTCAAATCCCATCTTTAAAAAAGGCATGGAAGATCGCGACATGGGTTACGCGCGGGGCGGTGGATCCTATCATCGTCACCTAGGATACGTCAAGCACTTCGATAGGCACGGCGCGGCTTTGCCGACGTTTCCAACGCGCCAAGATTCCCACTGTTAACTCGGGTGGGCTTGCATCACTTTGCTCCCCGTGAACATGACCCTTGCGCGCTAGCCATCATTTATTCGTTCATGAGTGCTATATGCTCATCATATCCATTACATATGCTTAATCCTTTTTCACGTCCCCCACTAGCTGTGTGTAGGCATGTTGACCGACGCCTTCGTCGCGACCGCATCTTCACTCCTCCAAAGACTTGTTACCGTCTTCTGTTGTGTGTAGAATTGGAGACCTGGCTTTCCGTAGAAAGTGTTTGCACCGCCGCCTGCGACCGACTTCTTGTTGCCAGTGAAGGAGAACATGGGGAGCTGCTGATATTAGCCTTCATTCAGTACGTTTGGTTCCGAAAGAAACTTACAGGTACGGGGATGGGCACGTTAATACCAACCTGACCGGCTTCAATCTCACGCTGGAATTTGCCGGCAGTGGCACCTGAGCGAGTGAAGATGGCGGTACCGTTACCGTACTCGTTTGCGTTGATCATATCGATAGCCTCGTCGATGGTCTCTACGTTTAGGCAGACAAGGACAGGGCCGAAGATCTCCTCGGTGTAGCACTTCATGTGTGGTTTGACGTTGGCGATGATGGTAGGACCAACCTGAACAGCCCAGTCAGTATGCGATCATCCTCACATATCAGCAAGACTTACCCAGTTGCCGTTGGCGTACTTGTCGGACGGAGGCTTCTGACCACGTCCGTCAAGGAGGATAGTCGCACCCTCTTCCTCGGCGCTCGCAATAAGGTCTTCAATCCTCTTCTTGGACTGAGGGCTGATGACGGGACCAAGGTCGGCGCCCTCCTCGAAACCGCCGTTCATCGACAGTTCCTTTGCGCGCTCAGCGATCTCAGGAACCCATTCCTTGGTCTCGCCGATCATGACCAGAGTGCTCAAAGCCATGCATCGCTGACCAGCAGCACCAAAGGCAGCACCGGCAATCGCGTTCAGAGCATGGTTCTTGTTGCAGTCGGGAAGGACAGCAGCGTGGTTCTTTGCGCCCAAGTTGGCCTGAACACGCTTGCCCTGGGCCGATGCGCGCGAGTAGATGTATTCTCCAGCCTTGTTGCTACCGACGAAGCTTATCGCCTTGATGCGGGGCTCGTCGATGATGAAGTCAACGGTCTTGGCTGAACCGTGTACAATGTTGATTACACCAGCGGGGAATCCAGCCTTCTCCGCAAGCTCGGCAAGGATCATGCAGGCGCCGGGGTCGCGTTCCGAAGGCTTGATAACGACAGTGTTACCGGTAACAGCAGCGATGGGGATGGTCCAGAGGGGAATCATAGCGGGGAAGTCTGGGGTAGCACATTAGCACAAACCTCATTTACCGCCAGTCGTGCACTTACTGAAAGGGCAAATGGCAGCTACAACACCCAATGGTTCTCTGTAGCTGCGTGTCTCCATGTCCTTGGCGACCTCGAGGACTTCGCCAGTCATTTGCGTTGTGATACCGCATGCGGTTTCCGCAACCTGCAAGCCACGGAGCACATCACCACGCGCGTCTCCAAAGGTCTTGCCCTGTTCCAGTGTGATGCTAGCTGCCAAACGGTCCCAGTTCTCGCGGATCAAGTGTGTGTATTTGAACAGAATCTGCTGCCTGTGAAGCAAGCTGGTCTCTTTCCATGGCTTGAAGGCCTTCTCGGCGCTGTCCACCGCGGCCTTGAGCTCCTCGTCTGTGCTCTGCGGCACGCGTGTAACCAGATTGTTGGTCGCGGGGTCGTGTAGATCTATCCATTGTGTTGCTTTCGATGCCACGAACTTGTTGTCGAGGAAGTTTGGTGTGTCTGCGGGCGATTGGATTGGCTCGTGGTTCATGGGGTACGACTCGGCCGCAGACGATGCGGGCTTCAGGTGCTGCGCCGTGGCATGCAGCCGCCGTGCGGCGACTTTACTCTGGCTGACTGGCGACGACATTCTCGTACAGAGAGGGGCCGCGCGCGCGACGGACGAGCGAGCACTCAATGTTGGGAGGCGTGAAAGGGCGCGACGAGAGAACATGATTGGGAGCAAGGTAAGCTCAACGCAACCTTGGAAGATGCAATTGAAGTTGGGCAAGTCTTCTGCAGGATCAAGCAATGGAGATTGAACCTAATCAAAGAAGAAACCACGTAGTAAACAACCGGCACTTGCGGCTATAGGGAAAGTGAATCCGGGTTGCCTTTCATAGCAGCAGGGTGTACAGCCGAACTCTCCCCGCAATGGCCAGCTGCGCATCCGTCGATAACCAGCTCCCGAGGTCGGTAGTCTCTCCTCCGCGGCGTGTGCAGCGTTTATGTCATCATCTGCCCCACTTTCACCTACGCATAGATACACACATCTTGACATGTCATATAGCTATTGAGTTTGAGAGTGTATCTTCAAATCCATGTCGTTACTTACAAAATGTGGCCAAGAGGCTTACGAAGCCGTACCTTCCTCATAGAAGTGCATACACCTTTGTCCATTGCCCCAACTTTATCCAGCACCTTCAAGTCATGTCTCCCACAACTAGGGTCGCAGAACATTCCGATGTTGACATCTAGAAGTCCGCGATACATAGACTAGATTGGGTCCTTCCTGCAGCTGTCGCCGCTACACAGCAAAAGTTCTTTGGTGGAAGCAGTACCTAGGTAAACAAGGGAGTAACATGCTCAGCGGAGTAATGCTCTAGGCTTGCGGGCTCGAGATCATAGCTGATGAGGTACTTCGACGGATGTTGCTGTCGTGAATGTCGTTGCTGCAGACTGCCTTTTGACCATGGAGCGACTCCTAGGTTCGTTCCAAATGAAGACACGATCCAACACGGAGGTGTAATTGCGAGCGACAACGGTGCGTAGACTGTGACCGTTCTTGCCAATGACTTTGTGTTTGTTCCGTTTGGTGCCATGGGTCTTGACATGGCTCACCCTTGCGAACTGAGCGACGATCGTGCCGTCCTTCTTCATAGCCTCACTTTGGGACTCTCTTCGTGATGGCGCTTCAACTCCATAGTTGGTCGACGGATACGGGAACATATCCGAGTTGTCAATTTGGGGTTACATTTTGCGGGGCACATGTGCATAGTGGAGACGCTAGAATAAACTGGGACTCCAGATGTCGGTTGAACGCAAAGTAAGTGTCGATTGGATAGATCTCTACTCTAACGGCTGTCACCCCACCACTCCATTACCAGAAAGTCTATAACGTCTGCGATTATGCCGTCCCTCAGCCCGTTCGATAGACTGTATGCCGACGGGTCCGATACCGTGACTAACCTGTAGCGCGAAGAGAAGTACGAAGAGGCATACGCTGCTTGTCGAGGTAGAAGACGTGGGAGATGACGAGATCGACGAGACTGAAGATTACTGTGTACTGGATGAGCGGCAGGCAATCTTATCTAGCGATGAGGAGGACCCCGATACCAGCGACTCAGAGATGTCCGATGACAGTAATGGTGAAGATCTCGCCAATACAGGCGATGAGGAACAGGTCGTCAGGGATAAGGGCAAATCAAGCGTGCGAGAATAAGAGACACGAGAAGAAGCTGAGTAACAGCACACATTCAAACAAGTCATAGGCTTATCGATGAAATCTGAACATATGTTTCTACACTCCCTATCTCCCAGCCTGTGACCCGGGGAGTTGAACATCCCATTATCAGGAACAAAGCCTCAATACATAATCATAGCGCCGAGAACCTCGAAATGACGTGTAACTGCAAATCAGGAATCCAATCGGGGATGGGGCGAAGAAATGCCCTCTGAACCACACTTTTTGGTAGTCTGTTCCTCGTACTCTGTATCTCCCAACAGGGTACTACTCCTTTCGCTCAACAGCCAATACTGCCTATGAAGCGTTTGAGCGAGTGGTGCGCTTGTTGATCTCAGCCTGGGCCTTTTCAGATCCAGTAGCGACGGCCTCGGCGGCCTTGTCCTTGGCGTCAACAGCGGACTTCTTGGCCTTGTTTGCCTGGGCCTTGACCTGCTCCTTGGAAGGAGCGGCACCGGAGCCGAGAAGAACGGAGGCAAGGATGGCGAAGATGGTGACAGCGATAACACCAATACCACCAGCGACCTCAGGGACGAACTTGGCAGCCTCAACGGGGTCGCGCTTGGCGATCTCGAGGAAGAGGGCCACCTTCTCCTTGACGTAAAGGACTGGGTCATCCTTGAAGACGAGGTCAGAGGGCGACTTGGGTGTGTCCTTGGGCTTGGGCTTGTTGGCCTCCTCGTCAGCCTTCTCAGCGGGGTGCTTGAGATCGAAGGTCTCAGCCTTAAGCTTCTCAGCATCGTCGATGGAGTGGCCAATGTAGATGTTGTCGAAGAGAATGTCCTTCTGCATGGTCCAGATTTCGAAACCAATCTACGGCATGTTAGCAAAGAGTCTGTGAAATCAAGATGGAGTCAACTTACAGCACCGATGGGCTCAAAGTTGGCAGGGGTCTTGTCCTCGAAGTAGTCAGGGTTGGCGATCTTCTTGGGGGCCCAGACGCCCTTGTAAGCCGGGTTGTCGATGAAGGGAGCGGTCCACTTGCCCTTGTAGGCAGGGTTCTTCTTCATAGGAGGCTCCCACTTGCCGCAGCCAGAGACCTCGTCACACTTGGGGTTGGGAACGGTGGGAGGGACCCAGTCACCGTCCTCCTCGTCATCCCAGTCCTCAGGCTTCTCAGCCTCGGGGTCGGGAATGGTGGTGGGCTCATCCTCAAGCCAGTCTTCAGGCTTGGTGGCCTCCTCGTCGACAATCTCGAACGGCGCATCCTCATCCCAGTCCTCGGGCTTGGTAGCCTCGGGGTCAGCGATGCGGGCCTCGTCAACCCAGTCTTCAGGCTTTGTGTCGTTGGGGTCGTCAATCTCCTCAGCGGGGTTGACGGAGGGGGTGAAGTCCTCCAGGAGGGTTCCGTTGCGAACGGACTCGCCGTCGATCTTCATCTCGAAGCTCTGGTCGGGCTTGACGATGAGGGTGTAGAGGCTGGTGGTCTTGACGATACGAGCCATGGGAGGGTTCTTGAGGTGCTTCTCCTCGTACTCGCCGGTCTTGGGGTTCTTGTGGCGGAAGATGAAGTGAACCTAGAAATGTCAGCGTAGTTGGTTGTATTGAGGGAAGTGTCGTACCTTGTTGGTAGCACCGCACTTGTCGGGTCCGAACATGATGATGTAGGGAGAAGCGTTGGAGAACTCCTCAGCGTGGAGGGCTGCGTTGTCCTGGAGGAGCTTCATGTACGCACCACCGCACTCGAGGCCATCTGTTCGTTGTTAGAATAACGTGATATCCCGAATTTGGCTAGAAAACCTACCCTGAAGCTTGACTTCGTACTGAACAACAAGGGTGTCATCCTTGTTGTCAATGGCCTTGGGGAACTTGGCGGAGATGGCATGGTGAGCCGCCTTGTCCTTGATGACCAGTCCCTTGTCGCCCTCCATACCCTTCAGTACGGAAGGCTCCTCAACGGACCACGTGCCAACGTATGCCCATTCCTCGTCATCGGCCTTGACGTCCTTCTTCGCGTGTGAGGGGTTCCATCGGGACTCCCAGTCGTCGGTGAACTGCTCGAGGAAAGGTGCCTTGAGTTTTGTGGGCTAGAGAGTGTTAGAGAGAGCCTCGGCTATGTGTATGATTCAGAGACGTACAGTAAAGGTTGGCTTTGCGACCGTGGTCGAGGAAGAAGACGCTGACTCGGAAGAGCTGGCGTCGTCTGCGCGCACAACGGCGGCAGCGAGCGCAACGGTGGCGCCAATTGCAAAACGCATTGTGCTTGCCTTGGTTGAGGGTTGAAGTGGAGGAGAAGAGTTCACGGATTCAACGTTGGGGCAAGGTGACAGTTAAATGCCCAGTACACAGAAAGGCCACCTTAGTGAAATGTGGCAGGAAGCGGGCCCTTGGAGCTCCCCACTAGCGCCGCGACCCATGCACGGTTATGCTCCAGGGTTATGGATGCTTCTCGAATTACTTTCACGCCAGCTGGCCAGATCTGATACACTTTCACTTAAGAGTTCATTGCATGCAATTACTATCAAGTGGTCAAGAAGTGCTAGTAATCCAGGTACCTTCCCAGGTGCCCGCTCACAGTCGCTCTTTCCAGGATTCTGTGTCCGCGGCGCTAGTGCAGACCTCGGGAAGAACAAACGTGTTCTCCACACGTCAACCCCGAATCCAAAGGTCCCAAGATAAGGAATACAGTTCAGGCAGCTTTTCAAATCTTAAGGAGATACTTCAAACAGGCCACGTTGTGCACAACAAACTCGCATCGATCACGCTCGTGCGCTGTACGACCAACACGACACATTGCATCACCCAGTACTGTCTTGAACGTATGTGGTATCGATTGTAGGTGAGCTATATCCATAGTCACACCAATGCATGCAGCCAACGGCGCTTCAGTGTAGGTATTCCCAAAACTCCGCCGCCTAGCCAGGTCGTAAGATGTGGTCTGCGTATGTATGCTACCTGTTCCCAAGTCCATCCCGCAAGTAGTACAAAGCCGCGAACGCCATACGCTAAAGTCAAAGTTCTAATTACTCCATGCCGCATTCCATATGACATGGCCTATGTCGCGTGCAGTATTTACGGTGTCAACAACTCTGCCGATGAGAGTGGGTGGTAAAGGCTCTTCTTCGTCGCCTTCAAATGGCATGAACATGCCGGATGGTGTTCTTCGTAGTGCGCCGCTTTCTAGTGAGGCTGACGACCCACTCCGGCGCAATGAGTACGGATCCGAAGCAGTGGGAGTGCCGGCCCTTTTTGAGCCGTAAGCGCTAGAGGGCTTGAGGAACTCCTCACTCTCTTCGTCGTCTTCTTCCAGCAGGAAATTTCGTGATGGATTTGACGGCTTCAGGGTCTCGGAGGACGGCGACGGAGAGAGTCCGCTGCGCGACTTCCACATGGCGAGGGAGTGATGCTGCTGCGTCTCGGGGACGTCGGGAGAGTCTGTCCGGTACTTGAGCGTCGTCGATGGAAGCTTAGCAATGGTCTTGTTGTCCGTGCTGATGCTGACGGACGAGGCAGTCCGTGAAAGAGGCTTCTTCCGGCGCGACCGCTTCATCATGACGACGCCCTCGTCCGACGAGGAATCCGCTTCCTGGTACTTGGCCCAGGGGTTGTGGTTGCAGTCATCCTCCTCATCGTCGGCGTCTTTGCACTCGACGGCGATACATTGCTCGACCTTGTCGTCGAAGCGGATGTGCCGCTTCTCCCCGTGATCGGGAGTGTGCAGTCCGGAGGTGGACTTTGAGGAGAAGTAGTCCGTGCCTTCCCAAAGCAGGCCTCGGGACAATGTGGAAGATGTGGGGAAGTCGGGGGTTACACGGCCGATGATTGGTCGGGGCCGTCGCAACTCCAGCGTCACACCGGTTGTTTGCTGGGCCTGCACCGACTCGGCCGCCTGTTGCAGCAGTGACGACGACGACAGGGACTTTTGCAGCATGGCCTCGGACATGCTGCGCTTCTTGAGAATTGGCTTCTTGACGCCATTGACGAACGAGTTCGTCTTGGACAGGCGGCTGGCTGGCTCCGAATTCTGCTGCGAGCAGAAGCGGTTTGAGGCAGGCTGCATGGGCCCGTACAGCCAGGTCACGTCAACGTCTTTGAGCCTGGTGATTCGTTAGCAGTGCCCAAGAGTTAAAAATCTGCAAGATGGTGCACGGATGGGGGTGATCGACACCCCTGCCGTGGCTGCAGATCGAAATATTCGGGACTCACCAATTCAATGTCTCGGGCGAGATGGTCTTGAGCTTAAACTGGGCCTTGGCCCACGTTCGCCACGAGGCATTTTCGAGCCTGGAGCGCTCGCCGTAGACGCTGCGGTGCTCGACGATGTGCCGCCACGACGACCAGATGTCCTCCTCGCGCCACTCGTACGAGAGGTAGTCGACGTGGTGTGAGGGCTCCTTGCGCACAGCCGTGTCGTCTTCGGACATGGGCATGGGGTCTGGCGTGGTCATGGGAGTGTCGGAGGAGAAGCCTTCGGTAGGCGACGGTGAAGGCAGCGAGCCCGGGCGCATGGCTGAGGATGCAGGCTTCAACGAGGCCATGTCGATGGGCGTGACGCCGTGACTGATGCCCTTGCCCTTTGCAACACCCTTTCCCTTTCTGTACTGCCGCGCCGAGGTGTAATTGGGAAACGCCAGGCCATCGTCTTCGCTGCTCGACTCGTCTGACTTGGGATCGAGCGAGACGCTGCTGGAGGGCGTCGAGTGCATGGACGAGGTGCGCGAGGAGCCGCTCAGCGACGGCGAGCGCAGGTCGGGCAGCGAGTACTGGTTCTTGCGGATGGGCGTGTAGGTGTCGTAGGCGAGGGACGCGGACGAGGGCGAGCGCTGGAAGGGCGGGTTGTCTCGCGGGAGCGACAGCATGGCCGTCATACCGGGCGGGTGCGGGTCAATGCCTCAATATCTATCACAGCGTGGGCCCGGCGGCGGCGAGGGAAAATCTCAGATTGTTCGGCGTAGACATGCGGTCGTGACTTGGTATGTATGGGCGTGCGGGGACGGAGGTGCAGTGGAGCGTGGCCAGGAATCGGGCTGACGACGCAACGGCGGATGTAGAGGCAGCTGTTGAGCAGTGGGAGGTGCGGAGATTGTCGAGACAGAACCACGAAGCGGAGTAGCGGCACTGGCCTAGCCACGAACTCTGGAAACCTGAAGAGGCGCCCCTGCACCCTCACACCAGGGCTACTCTGGGGTCCCGTCCAGCCTTTCACGTCACCCCTCGCCTTCAAGCCACAAAGGACCGACCGCTCTGCCGCTGCGCATCCGTTTGCCCTCCAAGCACGCTTCGCTGCACCTACGGGGTAGCTGCAGAAGGCCTTTCGGTGATCAGCCTGCAGATGCCCAACAGAAGCATGTGTAGTCTAGACCGTCGCTAGCACCCTCGCGTGGAGGCGCCTTTCACATCCTGTCGCGACACCGTGCCGGGGGCTGCCTCATTTCCGAGATGCGCCGGCCGTTGCTGCACCTCAGCAGCGCCGAAAGTGAACTGCGGAGAACCTTGAGAACCTTAAGAGCCAGCTGCGCATGTGTGCTCACGGTCGACTCCACCGGCTCGAACGACGTTGACGGCGAACGCCAAAGCCATGCACTGCGATGCACCCCCCACTCAGATGCAGGTTAACTTAGCCTTCACTTAGCCTCTCAACACGATGCCTCTGCTCCATCACTTCACCGATGCTCAGCATACAGCAGTATGACGAAAACCATCCATGCTTCTCGTCCAAACACCTGCTCCTCCACATGCGCTTCCTCTCTCGGCGCCTGGGGATTTTGTGGAGAATGACGCGCTGCTCATCGATCGAACTTCAGCATTTCAATCTTATCTTGATCTCTTCTTGGTCGACCTCCAGACCGCTCAGAAAGCACAACGAGCCAAAAGCACTTAAATCTTGGTCAAGACACACATTTCGCGTGGATCAAGGATTTTCGCCCATGCTAAAGCGCGATTTAAACTGTTCGCCTTGCCAGATGCCATAGTTTTAACAAAATAAAGGGCTGCAGACGACTTTAGTACGTTTCGTATCAGGACCAAACTCCTTCGCAAGCTCCGTGCTGCGTGCAACCATGAAATGGTCTTCTGCTAGCCCTCGCCTTGCTAATCATAGCTCACCCTAGAGCGCGCGAAGAAGCGAAGAACAAACTACCCACGGGTATTACAGTGGGGATGAGTCGGGGTTCAAAAGGAATCATCTGGTTAGGGCCTTGGTGTGAACATCAGCAACACAACATGTTAAAGTACAGTCGTACTCCTGCCATCCTTTCTCTCCACGGCATTTGCAACCATGTCTTTGCCCCCGGCTGTTCAGTGGCACTGCGTCAAAGCCGCTGCTCCAGCCGCATGGCACTCCACCACACATCGATAATGGAAATACCATTTGTAGCAACCCGAAGATAAGCCATGCGTTCCCCAACGGCGTGGCAGACTTGGTCAGTCTGTGCAACGTCGCACAACAGTAGCCTCGTCATGGACGGTTCATCAGTTTGCAGGGCCAAGCAGCGCCTCTCCGACGACCACGAACGTCAAAGGGGCTTTATCAGTCGCACACCGTCTCGTACAGCAATCTCGCGAGCATTTATGCTATCTGCGAACTGCAGCAGCCCCTGGGATTTATTTCCGGTAAAATGCAGAACGGGAATGATCCAGCTCGTGCGATCGATCTCAGCGCAGTATGTAGCGCCATGACGCATTTCGCGTCGGTGTTCGAGAGCCCCGAGAGGCGCGAAAGCGACCCAGTTTGTGTCATCGCCTGTCGCAAACGTTTTGCACTCTGTTTTGCACTCAGCCTTTTGTGCGCCTTTATAACATGTCACCGCCGCGTCACACGTAAACTTTATAATAGTCATTCCTTAGCATTTATAATATGAGCGTAACACACGATGCGCCTGCCCCAGCTGGGGACTTACACCCCGACTCGAACGCGCCGAACGGACGTCACGATACTACGACTTCTTCGACCGATGTCAGTCTCACCGAGAGAGACGGAACAACACAAAATGGAGAGAAGGCTGTAGAAGAGGGCGCTACTGGAGCGAATGACGCCGCTGTTGCACCGGGCGCCTCTGGTGCGCAAGATGAGTTCCCCCAGAGAACGAAGCTACAGATCTTCTTGATCATGCTCTCTCTGGCTGTGGCGGTTCTACTCGTTGCTCTGGATATTACCATCGTCACGACCGCCCTACCCACGATTTCGGCAGAGTTCAACAGCGCTTCGGGATATACATGGATAGGCTCGGCGTACCTCATCGCACAGTCAGCAGCCACACCAATCTGGGGTAAGATCTCAGATATCTTCGGACGAAAGCCCATCCTGTTACTCACAAACGCCATCTTCTTTGTCGGTTCCCTCCTTGCAGGTGTGGCTGTCAACATGGACATGTTGATCGCCGCAAGGGTGATACAGGGTATTGGTGGTGGAGGTCTCATCACACTGGTCAACATTACCATATCCGACCTCTTCTCTGTGCGGGACCGAGGTGCATACTTTGGAATCATCGGTGGTGTATGGGCCTTGGCGAGTTCCCTAGGGCCTGTTGTTGGAGGGCTCTTCACGCAAAAGGTCTCATGGAGATGGTGCTTCTACATCAATCTACCTTTCGACGGTGTTGCGTTCCTCATCCTCCTGTTCTTCCTCGATGTCAAGACACCAAAGACTCCGCTCCGTGAAGGCCTCAAAGCTGTTGATTGGCTGGGTTCGCTCGCCATGGTCGGTGGAGTCATTATGCTGCTCCTCGGCCTGGAATTCGGAGGCATCTCACATCCTTGGGATTCTGCCACAGTGCTGTGTCTCATCATCTTCGGAGCCGTAGTCATTGGCATCTTCTTCGCCATTGAGTGGCGGGTAGCACCGTATCCTCTCATGCCCCTCGATCTCTTCTCGAAGCGATCGAACTTGGCTGCATTGGCTACCTGCTTCTTCCACTCTTTCGTCTTCATCAGCGGTAACTACTTCCTACCACTTTACTTCCAGGCTGTGCTTGGCGCGACACCTATTCTTTCGGGAGTGTATCTACTGCCTACTGCAGTCTCACTCTCATTTCTCTCAGCTTTTACTGGTATCTTCATCAAGAAAACTGGGCAGTATCTACCTATGATCTGGTTTGGCATGATTATGATGACACTGGGCTTTGGACTTTTCATCGACTTTGACGTCAATAGTTCTTGGGCCAAGATCATCGTCTATCAGATCATTGCTGGAATTGGTGTCGGTCCAAACTTTCAATCACCGCTCATTGCACTCCAGAGTCTCGTACCGGTAAGTTCCATCGAAACTTTCTTTTTCTGCGCCTCCACATGTGATCATTACACATGACACTAGAGGCGGGGTTGCGGTAGAGCAACCATAGTTGCCATTCGTTAGTCTACCGATGCTGACATGCTCCTAGAAACGCGACATCGCTACTGCGACTGCAACATTCGGCTTTACTCGGAACCTTGGTAGCGCCATCTCGGTCGTTGTAGGTGGGGTCATCTTCAACAACGAGATGAAGTCGAAGCAGTCTCAACTGGCCACTTCGCTCGGTCCCGAAACTGCGTCGAGGTTCGGTGGAGGTTCTGCCGGCGCCAACGTCGGGCTTATTCAGTCCCTCCCCAATGAGCAAAAGTTCGTTGCGCGAAAGGCATTCGCAGACTCGCTGAGCACCATGTGGATACTCTACGTCGCATTTGCTGTCGTGGGTCTTGCAGTCAGCCTCTTGATCACGCGTAACAAGCTCGACAAACAGCACGAGGAGACCAAGACTGGAATCGAGGTAGAAAAGGCGAAGAGGCTCGAGAGGGAAGCCGAGCGCGCAGAGAGGCGGAAGAAGAGGGCCAGTAAGGGGTCATTACCGCTCGACCCTGAGGCGCAAACAAGCAATCCTGATGTCGTGAAAGAGAAGGAGACAGCGGTATGATGAATTCTCAACGATTCCTTGTAGCATCAAGCATAGCGTAGGTGTTCGTGTCAACATACTTCAATAGTTCGTTCAAGATACCACTGTATGTAAAATTGTAATATAACAGCCATGTAGGCCCACAGAAGTGTCAGTGCGTTCCAGTCATAGTGTGCTCGTACTCACACCCCCGTTTGCTCACAGGGTCTGACCCTCCGCTGAGTCTTTGTCAATACGAAATTAGACATGTTCGCGGTGAAGTAGACAAAGCGTTACTGGTACACGTTTCATAACAGCGTGTTCAGCGAGCAATCACCATTCACTACACACCAATATCTTAAACAAAGCTCCATGTTCCCAGACAGAGTCTGTTGTCAACGTCAACGCAATGTGCTACTATCGACTTTACATCTTCGTTGGCTGCGGCCACTCAACCTTTTCAGAGACGCCGGTTAGGCACTGTAAGAATGCGCTGACGAAGAGCGCAAAGAAGTCGAAATCGCCATCAACGCAGCCTGAGGATCTAGCTACCGGAGGCGAGACTTCCTCGGGAAGCAGCCGCAAGGGCAGGGACTCACAAATGACGTTGGTGCCAGACGATGACTCCACCGAAAGAGCAGAAAAAATAACCACGTATGGAGATACTTCGCAGACTTTACACTCTGCTGTACAAGCAGACCATAACAAGACACACAATACAAATCTTGTGTCAACAACCGACATTCTCCTGACTCCAAACGCAGATGGTAGGACTGCCTTGTCGCACACGACCTCACCTACTATCATTTCAAGAGCCAAAACTTCACTGCTGAATCCTCCAGCTCTAGAGGACAACGATACCCAGCCGACTTGCGAAGAAGGTCGTGTACATCCCCTGCACACTATCCGGCTCGAGCGCTTGTGTCCACTTTGTGAAGAAGAGAGAGAAGAAAGACTAAGACTTCTGTACTCTTCCATGGGAGAGATCAGATTTGACCCTGCAAGATGGCATGTGAAGTATCAAGGAGATGTGAAGTTGCAAAGTGATGGAAATCAGCAGACGGGTGCGGGTTGGGGTGTTGCCATGGGTGGGTGGTGGGATCTGGGTAAGAAGGAGGATAGGGATGGTGTGACATGAAAATGAGTTGATTGTACCTAAAAGAAGGAAGGAACAATACCATAGCGAAAACTGAGAGTGGTCCTGCGCGGTCTTGGAAGGCGCTGCCCAGGTGGTGGTGATGCAGCATCACGTGCACCGCCGCCAATCGCAGCTCGGCCCTTTCAAAGCTCACCAACGATCACGACCACGACACCTCGCAACACCGCCAATTGCCCCGTCGCACGTCTCCGAATCACTCGACGGAGTCCTCGGAAACTATATACACGACCTTCACCCCCGAACGCACTCCCCACCGCCGCAATGCCGACACCAGAGTCCGAACTCTTCCTTGCCAAAAAGCCCAAGGTTGCGCCAACCTTTGACGGTGTCGACTACGAGGACAACACTGCGCTCAAGGGCGCGCAAGATGCTATCATCAGGGAGCAGTGGGTGAGGAGTATGATGGCGAGGCTGGTGAGGGACGAGATGGGCAAGTGCTACCGAAGGGAGGGGGTCAACCACTTGGAGAAGTGTGGACATCTGCGAGGTAGGTCTTTCTCTATTCCGCAGGCTACAAGGATGCGTGCGGAAGGAAAAGAGGTCGAATTTGGGGCTGGTTGAAGCGGCGCAAGACCATCTGTGGATGTACGCCATGACAGAGCGAAGGCTAACACAGGCTGAACAGAGCGTTACTTCGAGCTCCTCAAGGACGCAAAGGTCAAGGGATACCTCTTTGCCCAACAAAACTACGTCGACGATGCGTTGAAGCGATAAGCGGCCCGCCAACAGCGGTGATCGCTTGCATGAGGAACGGACAACGGGCAGACCATACACAACACGCAGTGGGAGACACCAGCAGACGAAGACAAGGGTTTATGGCGTTCGGCAAGCGCATGCTGAAGAAACGCACCAATTCTCTCGTACTGGCGAAACTGTACATATACATGCCGGAGGAGAGACCGATGTAGCACGAATTATTGGATCAAGTGTACAATTGCAGTGGTACAGTTCGTGTATTTTCTTTTCCCACTGACGTGAAACCTCAAATTTCTAGGTCTTCTGTTCCAGGCGCGTGTTCCGGACGCTTTGTGGCTCCCCAGGTCCTTGACATGATGAGGCCAAGGCTAGCTCCCCAACCCCGCTACCACCGCGTACCTGCGTCAGCGACCGCTCCGACCAGCAACAGTCAATAGTCAACACGATGCCCTTCCCCTTCGTCCTACCAACTACTTCCAGCATATCCTTCACCGAATACTTCAACAGCAGCACCCACCCGTCCCTACCCAACTGCGCGACCACTGCGCGAGGCGTCCTTCGAGACGTACTCAAGCGACACAAGCGCATACCGCCTGCCTCACAGGCCTCGAACCTCTCCACCGTAACATCCGCCCTCAACGACTACATCCCATATCTGTTCGCTCTCGATGCAGGACTGAGTGGTGCAAGCTGCGCCGGCGAAGAGATCGACCTGGTCTTGGTCAAGGAGCTGGAAGTAGAATGGCGCTCGACGCTGGGCTCTTCGATACCGGGCCGCGAGCCAGCAAGGGTTAAGCTCAAGAGTCTTGAGAGCGAGCTCTGCTATACTCTCTCGACATTGGCATACGTATACAGCCTCCAGGCTCGAGCACAGCTACACACCCTCTACAATGCGACCGTACCCACGCCCGAACAACGCGCAACCGCAATCGGCGCTGCTATGAAGCACTTTCTCGAAGCAAACTCCATACATACATACTTGGTGAACCGTGCAGGGCAGTACAACTCACAGCCCGCGGCTATAGACATATCCGCGGCTGTGCTGGGAGCGTTGGCGGAGCTCACTATGGCTGAAGCTACACTCATCACCGTCCTGAAAGACGATCCATACCCAGCGGTCGTGATAGAAGACCGGAACAAGCAGAACAAAGACTGGATGTTCAGGGGCGTCGATATACCCAAGGTCCGCGCGCATCTCTTCGCTCGACTGTGCCTTGCTTCTTCAGAACACGCTGCGAAAGCCCAGGCTATGCTGGGGCGGTCTTCCAAGATTAACGACGATCTCCTGAAATACGTGGATGATCTGAGGCGGACCGCCAAAGGCAAGGCGTGTCGGTTCCTTGCCTGCGATGCTGAAGGAGGTGGTAAAACAGGCGAAGGCATCGCGTGGCTACGAGGCGCAAAGAAGGAGCTGGGTTTTGCATCGCTGGGTGCCGAAGAAGAGAAGAAGACTTCCGGTTTCTCCAAACTGAAAAAGGAGTGGCAGGAGAAGAGAGAAGACCGTAAGATTGAGAAAGGTGTAGATTGGGGTACTGATGCTGGCAAGTTCGAAGAAGGACGGATTGTCGACATGTTGTTGAAGAAGTGGGAGAAACAGAACGACACTGTATGTATACCCCCCTTCGCTGGTTCATTGCGCATGATTAACTGACTATACCAGGTTGGCATTCAAATAGTACCTCCCTCAGAGCCATTGCTAGCAAGCATGCCCTCAGGACGCGAGTATCACACCACCAAGATGTTCATCGTCCCCGCGCTCGACGAAGACGCTTTGATTCGCATGCGGGCGCCACCGGATCCAAGCGAGGCTTTCGAAGGAAACGAAGACGACAGCGCGGACGAGGACGACCGCAACCCTCCTGCTGGCGCATTCCCAGGCACAAAGGCGGACTATACACCAAGCTCAAGCTATTATTGAATTGCAAGGGTATATAATACAATTGGAATAAGAGGATGTCTGAACAAATAAAGGAGCTAGCTGACCAAACACGCCATCATACCCCATACCCAAGATCCCTCCAAAACTCCGCGACCTCACCCGAAACATCTCTTTGCACCCTACCCTCCTCCCAGACATCCCCCGCCCCCTCCAACATACCACTCCACGCCATCAACAAAGTGCCCCTATTCCCCCTCCCCGCAAAATGAACAAGGTAATCCCCCCTCCTCACATCCCGTTCCTTCAACCCCTCCACATCCTCCCTCTCCAGAAACTTCTGCGTGCCCTCCTCTTCATACCCGTTGAACCAATGTTGCGGCACATATCTCGCTTGGTCTCTAAATTGCTCTGTTTTGAGCACTTCTTCCATGGCAGATTGTTCGGTGAAGGGGAGGTCGATCTCCGGTTTGTAGTGGCGGAATGCGAGGATGGCGGTGAAGAGTTCGATGGCCCAGGCGTTGACGCGGAGGAGGAAGATGCCGTTGTTGAGGCCGTTCCAGTCGCGTGTTACGAGGAGGTGTGTTGTATTTGCTGGTGCTGACGTTGTTTCCTTGTCGTCGCGGCGCCACCAAGACCCGAAGCGCGCTTTCTCTGGTGGGAGGAAACTCGATATCGGACGGCATTGATCGAGAATAATGGTGTCCCGATCAACCCATTGTATCCATTCCAACCGCTCTTTCTCTGGCTTCAACATCTCCCGCATGAGTAGGTTGAGGATGAAAGCGGGTTTGTTCCACAAATCATCTACAATCGGATCGCACATCACTCTAACCTCCGTACCATGCACCAAGGCATGTTGGAGATGCGTCTTGAGCGCTTTCTGATAGTGTTCCTGGGGCTTGCCAAAATGCGCTGTAACAGTCGCGATGCGCGCCCGCCCCGTAGCAAAAGGTGAGTACTTCCGACATGTAGCGCGCTTCGCAGTCGCTGCCTCGATGAGTTCAGCCGACACTTCAGGTAAGCATTTCGAGTCGCCGTGGGTAACGAATTGGGCGTTGGGTCGCGGTTGGGGTCGGGCATACGGAACGGAGAGGTTCTCCAAGTTGGGGTGGTTCCAGAGGAGGATGGGGAAGCCGATGAGGAAGAGACAGAGCCAGATGAAGAACTTGCCCGTGAGGAAGCGCGGAGGTGCGTACATGGCTTTGGAACGAGTGGAAGGGGATGGCGAGGGGATGGAGATGGGCTTGTAGCTTGGATGTCCGAACATCTTATTGCTACTGGGTGCTAGCTATGTATGTGCGAATAAGAAGAAGAAGGGGGTAGAAAAGGGACTTGGGAGAGGTCCTTCCAAGACATGGTCGAGATGACAAGCTACACGAGGTGACGAATGCTACGGCGGCATTCTCTTGGGGTGCCAACGTCGCCGGATTATGCGGCTGTGTATTCGTGGTAAATGGGCGTCAGGTTGACAGCCAGCCTGGCATGGCGGCGTTGGCATGTCCGGTCCCAAGAGCTTCGCTGTGCTTGTCTTGAGCACAGAGGTTCTGCCACTGATCTTACTAGCTGAATCATACTACTAGCGGATTTTGGCTCTAAGTTGGTGCATGACAGAGGCTTACACAGCGAACGCGCTGTGGTCGGACTTTATTGTCAGATATGGTATTTGCGGAGTTTGGTTACACATCCTGCTCACGGACTTGCTGGGGCTTCTCCTATACGCGAAGTCTGAACGGAGATTATTGAAGGGATGGTGTAAATGGAGACACATGTATTTTGGTGCAATTGCTCAGTACGGTTTGGAGCTGACGAGTTCGTCGCATTACATGTTTCTGCTGCTCGGGGAGATACCTTGGCCTCTCGTCAGTCTTGGCTTGATTGGCGTCAGCGTCACTACAATGAAGTATGATGTAGATCTGAAACAGATTGAGGCTTCCAAAAAGAGCCTCATCAGTATTTGGAGGCTGATAGGGTTCCGACGGAGCGGTGCGCCCTGGTGGTCTTGGTCGACACAACGCCGACTCGCATGCTATCCGTGTTACAGCGTCGCGGTACGCGTCGTATTTGCGCATTAGAGTATGATAGTGAGGAGATGTCTAGTCTGTTAGCTCTGAGATACGTTCTAAGTATCGTGGCATCTTGGTATATTCCGGACGGTCCGGGGATCATGTTGAGGGTGGAGGTAGCTGCGAGGCTCGCATCGGTAGAGGCATCGCAGGCGCGAGCCGCACCCTTGGCAAGGACGTGAACGGAGTAAACGACACACATGAAGATCAGCATTAGTGTTAACTTGGTGACGTGACTTACTTTGGGGGAAAAAAAGTACACATCCTCCAAAAGATGCATAGTATTACCAACCTCGAACTAATAGACATCCTGCCAGTAGAATCACATGGCTAGGGTCTTGACTACCACGCAAAAACGAAAAAATGAGAGCTCTCCAGCGGGGAATTGAACCCCGGTCTCCCGCGAGTTGCCTGATAGGTGACAAGCGGAAATACTGACCACTATACTACTGAAGATTGGTCAACCTGATGGTTGAGTAGTTGGTTGATGACGAGACGCCACACAATGTAAAATATATCCGCATTTTGCACACCGGCCGCATCAGATTGCATGTAATCATGCCATAAGATTGCTTCGATCAAGTCTCCAGTCTGCCGATCAAAGGTGGCGTAAGTTCGCTCGTGTGCCCCGCGACACGCCGTCTTGCAGCCGAAGCGCGGGACCATTGACCACCTAGGCAGCACCTGACCCACCCAAAATTCGCGACACCACGCCTATACAAGTGCGTTGTCTCGCAAAACTCAGTATACGACGCGAATCAACCAAGGCGTAACCTTGGCCGACCCGCTGAGAAAATCAGGCTCATTTGTGCGACAGGATGAATCTGCCAGGGTAGTATCCTACCCGGCGCATCACTCTCTATGGACACATTCGGACTAAACTGGCATATTTTCCTGTTCTAACAGTAGGCCCGAGAGGACTCGCTAATGTAGCATACTCTGTTATGCTGTTCATGCGAGCTTTCGTACACTAGGGTTAGCCTCCTTTACGACTTTGTGATCTCCTCCTGACCTTTCATATCACCCAACGAGTTATCACCATCTTTACCATCGCCCAATGACCCCTGTCCGATGAGAACAGCTTCTTCTCGTCCAAGCATCATGTGCTCGATGTTTACCTTGGGGCCCTTGAACCACTTGTGTGCAGAAACGAACCACCAAATCGTCACCAAGAACATCGGACCACCGTAAACGACGCATGTCCAGTTCATGTCTGCCACGCTATTGGTGCGTTAGTCTTGTCAAAGCAGCGTGGAAGTGTTGGTGAGACTTACGTCAAGTCCGGTCCGGTTACGCTTGGGAAGCATAAGATGGGTATCATGAGCAAGACAAAGACGCATGCAACGCTACCAATAGCGCTGGAGTACTTCCCCAGGTTCCATGGACCCGGTCTAAAGCGATTGCCTACGAAAAAGACGCGGATGGCAATGGGTATGGTAAATGCGCTATCAGATGTCAGTAGAGCACGCACACCATGCTCACAAGCACTTACACAAAAGCTGCGATGGCACCAATGGAGAACAGCGCTCCAACAGCCAGCTCGCCGCCAAATATGAGCAGCAGGCATAGTATGCCGATTGCGCAGTTGAACCAAACGGCATTCGCAGGTGTCTGCGTGTGTTTGTTGACCCTCTTCCAGTACTTGGATAACGGGAAGCAGTCGTCACGCGCGTACGCGAATGTCACTCTGCTTGCCGCAATCATACATCCTTGACCCATGCTGAACCCGGCAATAATAGTGAGAGCAAGGATGGCCAGCGTCATCTTCTGCGACATACATTGCATCAGGTAGGCAGCGAAGGGCTGCCCAAGCTCAGACTCGAGGACTAGGTCGATATCAACGACAGTGTATGCCACGACAAGCTGAAGGAACCAGCCAAAGAAGCCTCCCGTAGCGGATGTCAGAACAATAGCGCGCGGAGAAGCCAGGTTCGCATTCGAGCATTCTTCCGCAAGATGGAATGGCGAATCGTAGCCTGACATGGTCCAGATGACGCCGATGAAGGACATCAGGACTGATATACCAGCTGGGAAGGATGTGCCTTCATAGATTGTGCCCCAGACCTCGCTCGAAGGGGCAAAACGGGGTAGACCGCGCTCTGTACGGTCTGTGCCCGCTGGAATCATTATGATGACCACAATCAGCGCAATGAAGTTGAACGTTGAACCAGCGGAGTTGAACTTTGCAAGCCAACGTGTCGGCATAGAGGAAAGGATCGCATGAAGAATCATGATGAAGACCGTCAACAGGAAAGTCTGATAATCCGTGGGGACGTAAGACGGGTCATTGATACTAGCCGCCGCCAGTATCATGGCCGCAATTCCATAATTGACTACTCAAACAGTCAACTCTATTTCCATACCCATCGCGAACGAGATAGCGGTTTGTACTTGCCGGACGGTGCCGCCGTGATCTGGGCCAGCCAATTACTCCAGCCAGTAAGCCAAGCAGCAAAAGGTCCCCAACCAGGTGGTGCCAGGACAGCAGAAGCGTAGTATAAACCTCCGCTCGTAGGCATGCTACTACACAGCTCTGCCATGCTCATGGCCACACACTGAATACCAACCATGGCCACAATCCAGCCCCAAGTCATTCCAGCCGTTCCCGCATAGCCCATGCCATAATAGAGCGTAGACGCGAAACTAGGCAGTAGACCCAGAACCGCAAAACTGACACAGAAGGTGGTAAACAGCGAAAATTCTCTCTTGAACTCCGATTTGTATCCGAGGGCCGCCAGAACTTCTTCATCTGGATTGAGGGAATGCGTGGGATCGTAGGGTATATCGCCATCTGGAAGAACAGATGTCACCGGTTCTTCCGCGACGGAGTGGTTCCGATGCTGGGAAGTCGTCATCGTTGCAACGCGAAATGCATGCGCGCGCCGTCGCAGTCGCAGTCAAAGAATAAGAAGAAGTCGCGATACAGAGTCTTACTCCAAGAATATAGCAACGCATGGAAGCGCAACAACTTGTCTATATACACCCACACCCCAGTCTGCATATCACCGCGCAGCAGGGTTGCAAGCGGGGTGTCACTACTCCAAGTGGGAGAGTACACGCGAAGCCATGCTGCAACGGTGTTTGGGTGCGGCGTCATAATCTCTTAGTAGGGGTGGTAGGCGTTCGTCATTCGCTGCGCGAACGCCTATCTCTCTGCTCTTTATCAGTTGCGTGGTTCGGCGGTTCGGCTAGACTAACTTAGAGGGAGAGGTGTGGAGGAGATCGCGGGCTGCGACACGCCAGGGCACACGACACCCACGACAAAATAGTGGCTTGTCAAGAGGTTGGGCAGCCGTATCCTCCGACCGCCATCTTTCTTATGTTGTGCGATCCGTGCAGCGAAGTTGTAGGAGGTACACATAAGTACGGAAATGGGTGACCGCTTACATGAATGGATTAGTGTTCGCGATGGATAAGACACCTTTGGTGCTTCCAAGGTTCCAAGGTTTGTTCGGAATTATTCCGCCCGATATCTGCGACCGGGGACTGCATATCGAGGTACCGTGTCCTGGGATACCTCAACGCTGCGATACGGCTGGACATGCTTCAATAGGCATAGGCTTTCGTAGAATATATTTGCCTGTCAGATTCCACGTGGCGTGGCAGGAGCGATAAGCTCACCGTTGATGTCACTCGATGAGAGATGGCGAGACGCCCACGAGCTGCTTACCGTAGCTACGTTATGAGGAGCGCGGTATGGATAAGCAAACGCTGCTGGGATATCAGAAGGATTGATACGTTTGCGCAGCTGCTTGCTTGCGTTGAAATACCTTGGTGCCCAGGTGAGTACCTAGCACAGCATGGGCTGATGCCCCTTGCTATCCCTGTTCGTCGATCCCATGGGTAACGTCTACCCCAAAAACATTGATGATTAAACATCCGCTGTTCGTTTGAGACTGCATGATGGAGATCGACCAAAGGCTCTTTCCGAGCGGATCCTCTCCTCCATATCGACTGCCTCTACTTGTATGAGCAGTCGCGTCTACCTAGGTATACTAGAGTGTACATGCCATACTACCACTTTCTTTGAAAGAATTCCCAGTGGTCTTCTTCGCTGAAAGTCCCTCTCCAGATGTTCGACTCGGAAGGCGAGACTGCCCAGGCGTGCACTCAGGAGGGCCCGGGTCGATTCTGCGAGATCAATGCAAATTTCAGCTGGACGCCAGCGTGTAGCTCCCAGGCAATGTCACTGCGTGGGATTACGGTCCTACGATTCTATATCCTTACCTTTACATAGGTCTTTAAAGCCATCCTCCACCTGGGCATCGTTCTCCGTCATGGTTGACCATGAGCACCTTTCAAAGTGAAAGAAATGGCCTCCCCAAACTGGCACATGCGGCGCAACGGCACCGGTGTCAGATACAAGAGTCACCGAGCAAGCTGAGTCGGCCTTATGTGTGTTATATCGAATCTGCTCCAGGTTCGTACGGCTTACATGATGTGGGTCGGGCGTGAGTGTTGATCATTCAAATCCCTCTTCATTGGCAAACGCAAAACCACTGACTCGGTCCTCCGCGGGTGTGGCGATACGATACATTCACGTGCAGTTCGCGCATCGCCGACAGAATGTCACCCCTGGTGCTGCTTTGCCGAATCTGACAGTAGCCATCGCTCAATGCCGACTGAAACTGCCCAGGTGAGTCTGAGCTTTCTTCTCGAAGGCTGAGTCTTCTAAGCCGCTGTTTCCAAGGTCGTGGTGTCGGGTCTTCCTTGTCTATATCGCGCAGGTGTTTCAATGTTTTCGACAGTTTCCGAAACTTGCATTCAGTAACCTGACTGTTTGGCGATTGAACTTCTGCAAGGCCTCTGTTGGTGACATGTGCTTGCTGGTCAGTTTTCGCTGTCTTTCAATCGCAGAGATTGCGATTTGCATGACCAACAGTGGACGGTAGAACTCTACCAATTGTGGGTGTGCTGAAGTCAATCATGTCTGTGTTCGAAAGAGACCCGGGTTTGGGGTACTCGGCGGAACGCTGCGACTTCCCTTCGCCCTCGTGCTTCTGAGGCGCCGACGCCGCTACACTACCTATGCACACCCATGACAGCACAGTCTCTTTCCAGAGCTATCTGTATCAGCGACAAGGCTCCTAGGACTTTCTTGTTACTGCGCGATTTTCGGTTCTCCTTGACTGAACGCCTGAAGCAAGGACGAAAATTATGCGAGTGTTGACCTCGGGACCAGTACAACTTACGGCTACGGCCCGCCAAAGGCGTCAAACTAAGCGTGCCGGGACACCCGATGTCACTCACGCAAGCTGGCGGGCACCGCCAAACTTTCCTCAACGCCTTCAATTTGCGCTGCGATGTTACCGATATCTATTGCGAGTCAGAATTCCAGTGACACTGGCAACAGCTGTATAGCATACCTACGATATTGCTCGCCTGAAGTCGCAGTTTGCAACACTACCAGGCATGAAATCACCGAAGCAGCGCCGGGAAACCCATCGCGCATTGGACGCATTTGATTTGCTGTGACATTTCTTCTTGAACCGTACCACGAATCGTCGCGAAATGTTTCCGGTCAGCAGCCAACATCGCCATATTGCCGCGGCCTTCGAATTGGACGCGCCTCTCTGACACCTGGGCAGCCTCAACCCAGGTCTGAGTCGTCAAACTCGTCATCCAATTGGCGCTACCGCGAGTCCCACAAGTGTCGAAGCTGGACCAGGGACGTCCGTCTTTAGTCGATTGTGCAGATCATCGAGGATGCACAGCTCCATTGAAAGTGGCGCTTGCGACACTTTTAGATGCCTAGTCTGATATCTTGGGGTCCGGGGGTCCGCGATTTCTGAGCGCTGTCTCCTCAATCCGAATACTTCCACTGAAACACTGCGCGACCACCCCAGGGCATCCATCCACAGCGCCACCCCGGAACAGTCCAACCAAGCAACATCCCAGAGCACCTATCAAATTGTCAATGAAGCATTTTGTGACGGAAAGCCGCCGACATCACAGAGAAATGCCGAGTGATTGCTGAGTTCACACCCGGTCTTCACAACATAGCGCCTGTGGTCACAACAAAGCTGCTGACCGGGCGCTCGGCAGTTCTTCATCGATTTACTCTGTTCCCCAACGCACCGTGGTCTCTATCGCATCGATAGATTCCCCCTGATATTTACGACAACTTTTGATCAACACCCACTAAAGCCCTGAGCAACCAACTCCGAGACTTCTCGCCGTCTACTGGCCCGGCCTTTGAACGTTCCCACAACCTCGGCTCGCGAGCCAACCACTTATCTATGGCCGGAGTTCTTGAGCCTGAGGCTGGAATTTTCTACGGCGTGTGCTGGATCGTCGTCATCATTCGACTAATATCAAGAAGAATTCATCGTGGATCATGGAAATTATTGCAATTAGATGATTACTTAATACTTGTAGCCATGGTTTGTGACCCGCAGCATCGAGCGACTTCAAGTACTGATTGTGACACAAGGCTACCGACACAGTGCTGATTGCTATCATGCACGAAGTCACAAAGACTAGCAGTACGTCTTTCCATGTGCAAACTGCAAGAGAGACACACGCTGACTCTATACCGGTATATAGGCAACCTAATACCGCCTGGAGACGACGTCTCTCAATATTCAGATGCCGAAATCAAGATGCGTATATACGGATCCAAGCTGGTCTTGGTAGTAGAGCAGATGCAACTCCTCACCATATGGCTGGTCAAGGCATGCCTACTCATTATGTACAACCGTATGACGATGGTCCTCCCGCAACACAAGATCGTCATCGCCACCTCCATATATGTCGCTGTCGCATTTGTGGTCATGGAAATATTGTACCTTGGGGTTTGGTGTCGGCCGTTCTCGCAATACTGGGCAGTACCGCCGAATTCGAGTAAGTGCCTTTGCAACATCTAATCACACGATACTGACGATACCAGAACAATGCTCCGCAGCGACTAATCATCTCATCACAAACGCCGTCTTCAATATTTCCAGTGATCTGATCATCATAAGCATACCCATGCCGTTGCTCTTCAAAGTACGCCTACCGAAGAAGAACAAAACGATCCTTTTCGTCATCTTCTGTATAGGAGCGTTCACCATCGTCGCAGCAGTCCTCAACAAATACTACTCGTTCACAAATCCCTTTGGAACTGAGTGGACGATCTGGTACCTTCGAGAGTCGTATACAGCGATACTCTGCGCGAATCTGCCCTTGACCTATCCGCTCATACAACGGGTTCTCGGTCTGAGAAACTGGAGCTCCAACACATACACTGCAGAGAACACATACGGGCCCAATACCGTCACGCGCGCGACACAGTCTGCACACACACGCGCCTATTGGCCGGAACCTAGAGCAGAACCGATACCCAGAGGCTTCCGGGATATCTTCAGGCGGACGGAGAGTCAAGA